CTGGAGCCACTGCACTGCCTCATCGATAGTCTTCAGCATCTGCTCTCGGCGAAGTGCTTCCCGTTCCGTTTCGGACCTGAAATATAAAAGAAATCACACAAATCAGTATATATAATTGTATTAAACTTAATCTCTGCAATGATACTACCAGGCTGTACATGGTTTAACTGTTAACAATACTTTGCCGATCAACACGCAAGTATTTGGTCATTGAAATCTCGACTGGATTATCTGAGATATCTACACAGGCTCTGGAAAGATGAGATACTCGGAATTAACTCCGAGTGGTACCAATTTTGCAACAACAACAGCTAGCAGCGAGAATCGTCTACCTTAAAAGGAAATTAAAATTAATGATTTTTCGCTGATTTTACGAGAAAAAAAAAGGATGGACGAACATGAAGGGATCGAATCTATCCGAGCTTAATGCTCTGCGCGGCGATCCTGGTTCTTCTTTTCGCTCGAATGTAAATTTCATCAGTGGTGGCTCGTTTTCAGCTCGGCTTTTCGTCTCATTGATATGTGCTGAAAACTGCTTGCTTCCGTTCAAATGCTAGACACTAGTACCCATCTTCTATAGATGCCTGTTTTTACAACTTTTTGGGATGATGGAATTATCCTGAGACAGTGTTTTTTTTTTCATGGTCACTCTAGGGGTCCACTTCCTCATCCTTTTCTCTGTACTTTCTGTTCCCGCACGGATTACTTTGCCAGGTTCAAATTTTTTGTTCGTAGAATTGTAATATTTCAGATGCGTATTTTTTGAAATTCTCAATAAAATTAAGTCGCTTCCGAGCGAAGTTTTTGTGCTAATAATACCCAAGGTAATACGGCGAAATGATGATTAAATGCTTCATTTCTGTGAATTGTACTTGGGTTTTATTTTGTGATTGCATATTTCTGGATTAAATCTTGGATTTTCAGGATACACCGCAGAAAATTTATTACTTGTATTTTAATTGATTTTTTGCAGTCAATCTTTTTGAGTTTTAACTGCTTCTACAGTGCAGACAAAATTTTACATGCTTTTTGAACTGGGATTAGAAAATTTCTTATTGTGGTTATACAGGAGAAGAAAGCCATTGCCAGCCGCTTATTAATAAACTGCTGGATGCGCTGAAGCACCTGCTGTTTGTTTCCTTTGATTTTTCCTAGATGACACCAAGGCACAGTGCATCTTCAAACATCACTGTGCGTTTCTCGACGTCTCGGCGATTCCATGATGACTTGCTCGATTCAGTTGAAGGCCCGTGATTTTGCGCCAGCCCGAGAATTATCAAAAAAAAAAAAAAATGCACATATCATACCCATCAGTCTGGTCGTCACAGTTTGGGTGTCGCTGATCTCTTGTTCAACGAAATTTGTGATGAGTATCAGCTTCGGTGCTTTCTCGTCCCCCCATCGTTCGGATCGTAGCGATCGTCGCCACGTCAGGTAGCAGCGTTGCTCGGCACGTGGAGGAATGCAACCGCTTCCTGCTGGTGCCGCCTTAACGCAAAATCACCAGTGTCTTTAAAATACAGCTCACTACTTCTAGCTTTTTCCCTATGCCCCTGCAGCTGTATTTAAGTTAAAAAAAACGGGATTTGATAGGCTTGACTGGTAAGTAATCGTTTCCAAAGGCCTGCTCCAAACTACACAGTTCTTGTACTAAGTAAGGCTTAAAACGATTTTTCGATTGACGAACTTCGATTGCTTCTTCATTCTCGAGAAAAGCCGAGAAAAGCAGTCCTAGTGCGACATAAAATTTGTGTACCATTGGAAAAAGCGAAAAACTACGTGGACAAGGAGTAGCAACTCTAATGGCCATTATCCCACCAAAAAGATTTTGTAAAGTTGTAGTGACCACTGACCACACTCCTTCCCTTCTGTATGCTTGCCAAGACATCCTGTCCAATTTTCACGTTGATAGCAACTAAAACACAAGCTAACCGTAATGCTGAACGAACTATCCGCTCGTAATTTGTATAGTAGCGGTACGTCAGCATGATTGCAAAACTGAATTTCAGCGCGTGCCACATTTAACCGCCCTTTCAGCGGTGCAAAATATATTGTTACTGCTCTTAATTAAAATTCATTGAAAGCCAGTTAATCTAGGGCGATTTCAGAGTTGTACCTACTGCATTTTGACTTACAAAGCGAAGAAACATGCATCTGAAAGCAAGTCGCCGTAAAAAGGGATGTATTAATTGACGTATTATGTATGTGTGTATATATGTATCTGTCTTTTTAACCGTTATTTCAACTCTGTAAAAGTTTGAAAGCTAAAATTTTGTGTACAAAGTTCTTGACTTAGCGCAAGGCCTCGAAGCCGAAATCAACGCTTATGTCGTTTTTTCTCTTTTTTTATGTGTTTCCGTGTTTCATGCCATGTTTTTTGTCTTTCGCCTAAATTCAGGGAATTTAAAAACAAAAGCTTGAAATTTTGCGGAAATTTCTTCGGTCTAGGTCCTTGAAGACCTGAAAATCAAAACCTGAGACGTTCTGTGATCCGAGTTTTCGATATGGTGCCAATTTCAGGCTTTTTTTATAATTCAAGAACCAAAAAGGATATAATTTGGTACCAATTTCAAGCATCTTTTGCAGTTCGAGGACCAGAAAAAGGAAACGTTTTTCAAATTGAAGACAAACTAGCTGTGTTTTTATGCGAGGACCAAAGAGCACAACTTTTCTGGTGAGTGATTTAATCAGGATTTTATGTCGAGAGATAAAATCACGAGAGAAGACAGAGTTGTAGTAAGTGCGCTCCACTTGCGATAGCTCCTCAGCAACAGAAAGGTCACAACTTGAGGATCTATTGATGGAATATCAGCAGATGTCATACTTTACCCATGCTACAGGTAAGAGTTACTTTCCATAAGAGCTATGTACTTTGCCGTTTCTGCCCGGCGCTGAATCATCCAAAAACAACTATAATTGCCATTATCCCCTCAATTATCTTCTTAGGAGAGAGAAAAGTGCAATCAGGCGGATTCCAAAAAGGAGGAAAAATATGCATTCCCTTGAAGAAGCATTCTATAGAACGAGAGAACGTACTGTTTTGGTTTTTGTCTCTGTGATTTGATAACATAACTCGTGACTGGTGCTTCAGCTGACGCGTGCGTGTGTTCCATGTCTATATTAGAGTCATTTTCGCTTATTGCTGTACTTCTGAAGCATTTTTTTTTTTGGTCATCATCAACAAATAGTAATTAGTTTTCCTTCTTTTTTTTCCCCTCCCTCTTTTGTCACCTTTCTCCGAACTCATTCCTCACGGGCCAGAGTTTATCACACTGATAGGGCTGTTTATCTGAAGCGCACCTGAACAAGACCTACTAGTTTAATGCCTTATTTTTCGTAGCTCATGTTTAATATCATATTTTTCTAAGCTTATCACCATTTCATGCCCCAAATTTGCGCACCATAAATCTATTAGTGATTTTGAAAAGGCGTAAAATATAAGAGAAAACTTTACAGAGGGCTTCTTTCGACCCTGGAGATAGACATTCGCTGTTCAGCGCTACCGAACATTGCTCCGTGAGCCATTTCCCCGCGTATCATCATACGACTTATTCTAACAAATTGTGAGAAACTACAATGAACAGTTCCCCGCCTGGACACCAATTTAAAGACCCAACTATTTGCATTTTTTATGCAAATTTTGTCAAATTGACCTATCATTTATATAGTCCAGTACTTCACCTTGCCGATCAAAACAGTTCAAATTGCCACTTCGTCCTGATCCCCCAAATTACTGAGGATAACAATGAGCGTAACTATGACAGGATCCTTATATATCACTCCCACTGTGGGTACTGGTTTGGCATTTCGCGTTCAGATGTGAAGATGGGTGGTTCGATTCTCTTCCGGTCCAATTCTCACTTGCAAAAAAGGACTTAATCCACACTGGTATGGCATTTCGCGTTCAGATGTGAAGATAGGTGGTTCGATTCTCTTCCGATCCATTCTCATTTGCAAAAAAGGACTCATTCCGCACTGGTATGGCATTTCGTGTCCATATATGAAGGATGGTTCGATTCTCTTCCGATCCATTCTCATATGCAAAAAAAAGAGCTTCTTCCGCAACCAAAGTTTAGTAACTACAAGTTGCCGGTCGGAATAATTCAAATTACCAGTGAAACGGATTTCCAATATCAGCGACTTAATAGTCTACGGAGTATGATTGTTTCTGGAGTTCCAGTAGAATTATAAATGAAAGGTGTTACGACTGAGTTTACTCGCAATGAGCTGTAGAAAATAGCTTGAATTCAGTGATATCAGCCATTTCAAAAGGTGACCGAAGCATAAGAAATTGTAATATTTATTCATAATTATTTTTTTTTTTTTTTTACAATAAAAATCCAAAATACACACAAGAATTAGGAAAAGGTAAGCATTTTTGCACCGGTTGTCCTCACTTATTTCCCAATTCTTCATTCTCCTGCAGCATCCCCTTGGAGTGCTCATCCACTTTTTTTTCGCGTTCTATAATTGCCACAGCATGAAATAAGTTTTTTTCGACTATAAATTCATCCAAATGCTAATTATGTTTTGGAAGGGAAAGTGGTCAGCCTACTGGCGATTTAACCATTGTTTTAAAAAAGAACAAATCCCTGTTCGAGTTCCATACTACTTATCGATTTGTTCAATTAGCAAAAAATTTCAATTAAAATGAAAGTAAGACTCCAATACAGGCTCATAGTGGGAAGTTAGACTCGGCTTTCATCACATTTTACGCGCCGGTCAAACCCTCCCTTTTCAGAACGTGAGACGAACAAAAGTAAAGGGATACCTTTGCAGTGTGCTTTCTTGTCAGCTTCATCGGAAGTCATCTTTTTCAATCTCGACTGCTCTTCTAGGGATTTATTCGCTGAAATTGTAGAAGCGGTCAAAGCAAAAACATCTCAGTGCAAGCAGCAGAAGGCCGACTCGATCTTGTCTTTCTGTTTGTTAGCTATAGTAAATGAAGGTGCTGTTAGGCACAAATCATAGGCGCTTTTTCGCATATTTATGCAAATGCAAAAACACATATTGTCAAAAGTTTGTCTGTGTATATGTGTTCGGGAGTGAGTAGACTTTGCCACCTATTTTCAGTTTCGTAGCCCGAAAAAGAGGAAGCCGAAATTTTTGAAGTCTGTCCTAAAATCAGACTTCGAAAATCCACGAATACGTAGATTTCAGATACGGACACCCGAAACAAAATGTGAAAAGTCTTGGCGGTAAATGATTTCGAGAACCAGACAACATAAGAAGATGTAGCTTCTGCAAGGGCGTTCATGTGTTTATCACGTATTTTCACGTCACGAATGTAGACACGTCAGAATTCACTGCTGATACCTTGCTAACTCGGAAATTAGCCAGAAAAGAGAACGGTATTGTGCGAGGATATTTTGAATGGGAGCTCGTTTAGCCAAACTAAGCTCCTTCTAATCTGATGTAATTGTAGTTTTTTTGAATATACATATCTAAGGTTTTGCAAGTCGGAAGAAAAAGTGCAAAAGTGGAAAGTTGAAGTTTACATAGCGTTTGAGGTTCCTTGGCAGCCCGTTCCTTGTAGGCATTTGTGCCATCATCCTGTTTGTTGCATTGCCCACGATCGGAGCTCAGAAAACGATACAGGTAAAGCTGTGATCTGCGAGTGCTCTAAAACGAAAACGGAGTGTTTTTGTCATTACGTATCAGTTAAATTAGAACACGTATATTTTAACGTATCCAGCCCAGCCAGCAACGAGCACCGGAGCTGCTGCCGCTTGCCATGCATGAAGCTATGAATTTTTACATAAACTTTGAAACAATCAGATCGTCATTAATAGAGTTTAACATGTGCACTCATGTTAACAGTATTTTTGGAGTTTTGTCGCATACGACAGGAGTGGGGCGCCGGCTAGATGTTAGGACGGTAGTATTGCAACGCTAGGTTGCATGAATCTTAACCACCAGTACATATGATTATCATAATTTTACAGGTACGTGTTGTCGACAAAATGCATCCTCAAGTTCGCCTTATTGTTACACATGGATAGACTGATTTTATGGTTTTAATGGCGCGCAAAACACTTCATGTCCCACAGGCATAGTCGAACCATCGACAACATTGCCACTCCCAATGCGCCATGTTCCCAGGCGCTACAAGATAACAGGTACTTCGAAAGTCATGCAGTGATAAAATCACTACCTTTGAGAAGCTGGAACAGGCTGCATTACACACAGAATAGAACATAGTCTCAGGCAACCGTGACGTTTTTTCACGTCGATTAAAGGTTCATACCAGCTCGTGTGAGCTCTGGCTCTGAAAAACTGAAACGCAAATAGTTCAAGCGTCGAAACAAGCTTAATTATCATATTTCGGTCTCTAATTTTTCAGGAAATTTAAAGCAGAGACGCGATGGCTTAATGCTGTGCTCGCCCTTTTCGGCTGAAATTCAGGAGTTTGTGAGAGCTCCAAATACGCAAATTCGGAAATCAAATTTCTTTATGATCTGTTTTGTTGTGAAAATGTTATAGGCGAGCTATTTGGCATGCGTTGATTTTCAGGCGTTTTCGGCTAGCTTCTCAAGGAATTCGAAGAGGAGAGCAACAGCAGCAGTCTGGCAAAGATGTTGGAATTTACAAAACTGACCAAACGGGAAACGAAGGAATTTTTAACGTTTTACCAGATTTTTAGATTGATGGAAATCCTAGATGACACTGAATTACAGCTACTCCTTCCCCCGCGGATGCAAGGAATCGCATATCACCTGAGCTACGTGCTTTCATCAAGATGCTACCCTTTCCCTTTCCCTTGCTGTATTGCAGGGAAATACATTTCCTCATTCCCGAGAGTCCATAGTTGCACCGATTCGTAGCGTTTGTGCAGTTACGCACTTGCATGCATTTTATTTGCCGCAAGCCCTCGGAGAGCGTTTATAATTCTGCTTAAGCCTAGTAAGCAGCCTAGCATTTATTGTCGAATAAACATCATAAATTTGTAATAAAAGAAGGAAGCAGCAAGTGCTGCTACCGTTGCTAT